CTTCTACCGCCCCTAAACTATCTTCCCAGCTGTCTTTCCTCAGCCTCCTACCCCTCTCTACATCAACAAACTATATTATTCAGTTTTCTTCAGTCTGAACAGTACGCATAAAACGGTGCTCGCGCATGCGCAATATCAACCAAAGAGAAAGGACGAGAATTCCAGTATGGAATGACAGAAACGAAGAAGTTAAACATTTATGGAATCCTTTGAAAACGGCGCATGTCAAAAGCAATGATCACACACAGATGATCGAGTGCTACGAACAGGCTTCAATAAGCCAGAGAGAATGCATGCATCTTCACCTGACAATGTTAAATTTTCTGAAAGGTTATAAGTTTAGCATAGAGAAAGCGAACACATACAGCGTCTATGAACAGACGAGGCGACATTCATATAAGACAACCTGCTTAGGCATGTAGGCGTTCTAACGACGTGTCTACGTGAGCGCAACAATACATGAAGCAGCACTCTTTATAATATTATTGTAAATATTATGGATATTATTATGTAACGAATTAATGGAAAAAGTTCATAAATTATTATCAAGTTCAAATATTAATACATGACAAATGGATTTTCTTAACGAGCGCCGTTCTTTTTTTAATCGTGGGTCGCGCGCGTGTAATTATGTGGCATCGGAATTTTCGTGAGTGTGAAAAAAACATGAAATATCACGTTTTCGTTTCCCAATTCGTGCTTAGTGTCGCGAGCCGCAGGAGACGTCCAAACTTCGCTATAATAACAACGTGGTAATGCTTTGTGGAGGAGCCACGAACCTTTAAACGAGGGAGGTGCGGTGCAACGATTTTGGGTTTTGTCGTGTATGTATGCACACTTACACCTACAAACGTCTGGGGAAATACATATATGTAACATCGTGCAACTGCAAGTTCATGAACTGTACTCCGTACTCGACGCGACCTCGCCACTTCTAGTGGTGACCCGTGTCGGCTAAATACGCGTGGTACTACTACTAAGCTAATTCGGATAGCTTCCTTGAGGTCACCTTGAGTTTTCCCCCACGACGTGAGCACGTGCACGTTTCGCGTGTTTTGTGTGCAATGCCACGCTGGGCTGGCAGGTATATAAGCAAAGGATATAGGACAGTTGTCGTACATTTCAGTCCTGCAGTCTTCAAAAGAGTCCACTATGTAACGCGACGAGATACGTTCACAGGACCGCCGACACAAAAATGTACAGGGCGTAGGCACCTACGCATACTGCATGAGATTGTATTGTGCTTGCCACGTGTGAGTTGCTATAGTTAGCTTCTGTCATATCTTGACAGAGTTGCATCAAGTTGCTTCAACAGCCATTAAAACGTTTAATTTTTTTCCAC